CATATAATCCCATCCGTAAATTAAATTAACTGACGTATCTGCCATAAAATGTAAGTTTGTGTAAGCAGAGGGGATAGCAATGGCAGTTCGCTGCATTGGAACCCTTTAGAAAGTATTTTAAAATCTCTCTTCAGAAACTTTTACATGCACTGTCAATCAGTAGTTTACTCCTACTGTAATTAATGCAGCAACTCAAATTATTAAAAAGTCCAAAAATATTGACTTCATCACAAATTTATCAGCCTAAGGAAAATATTAATGCTGACATAAAGAATACGATCCATGCATTAGATATCTTGTCACTGTAAGAGTGTTTAGATCGTTAATAAGAAGATGAAACGTGAGGGAAAGCCCTGTTGGATAGCGTGCTATGTGTAATGATTATGAATTAATACTTCGTCGATCGAATAATTTTTACTTGGATATTAACTCCATTAAAACAGTAAATTGAATTAAGAACGCTATTGACAAGAAACTATTACCTTTAGCCAAAGCTAAGCTAGTTTGACTAATGAGATGTTTTTAATGATCTCCATAACATCATTTTTAAATACATACTCCTACGTCATCGTCCACTACTACTACCCACCTATGAATGAGAATCTAGGGAACGCCGCTTTTAGCCACTTAATATTAGTCTTTTGTTTAATTTACCAAACTATAGTATCGGATGTCATCCATCATACAGGAGCATATTGCACGCTAATTAGACTTTGGAAATATGGCATTAGCCGGTTACTTGCTGGAATTAATCTGATTTACAATATTCTCATTATAAACCGGTCACGAGAACCCATAACGGTCGCACTTCTGAGATAATCGAATTTGTGACTGGCTGACATGTGCGGCAATTGCCGAAATGGATGCCTAGCAAGATTATTACAAAAGTTTGTGATAATTTATAGGATTAACTGACAATATCAAGACTTACTACAATCTTTACTAATACTTTATTGGTACTTTCTATTGTTTTTCGTATACAGTACATCCTATGCCAATATCGTAATACCATACTTTTTAGATAAGCCTAATAAAATTTTTAACTTGCCTCAACAGATAACACGGAAGCTCAATTAATGTTCTATGAGTAAATGATGCTTTTTAAATCTAAAATTTGCCCAATTGGTAATCTTTGACGTATTTCTATTCACAAGTCTGTTATGGAAATGATGTGATATATGTCATTAATGTAATCGGTAATGTACCTGTCTATACTAACAAAACTGTTTTGTAAAAATTTTATAGATGCGGTAAACTAGTCCCTTCATGTTCAAATTGTCAGACAATAACAGATTATGGAAGCAATAGCATGATATCTTCAAAAAATTCTAAGTTCTGTGATTAACATTTCTTTGAAAGAGCTAGATTTATGTTAATCAAAACGCTACTACTGGTTAGATTAAAAAAATAATAATAATTCGTTCTAACGCCTGCTGTGATGTCCAACCCCTTAATTCTATTAATAATATACCACTATATACGAAAGCTGAGTAAAATAATCTAACCAGATCAAAATTTGGACCTAGCATTCCAATCAGAGTACAATAGTCAACGGCGAATAAATGTTTGCGCTTTATAAATAACACAGTTCAAATTCGACAAATGTAATAAAAGTATCTCACAAATAACTGTGTCAGTAAAATAAAATTTTCAGACAGGTTTTTATTACAAGGTTGAGGAATAATTGAGCAATAATTAATTACTACGAGAATCTAGTCTAAAATCTAAATTATTCCGAGCTCAAAGTGAAGTGCAGTCGTTAATATGAGTTTAACTTCGCAGTTCTTAAATGCATTTCGTTAAATCGATTTATGAAAAGATAATTAGCTACAATCAGACTTAAGTCATCAAACAGAGTACTTTTCCTCAAATAGATCATTATTATTTTCTACAGTTCGAATCAATCTGCTTAAAATTTAAAGAATATCACTAACTACCCTACAGTAGACTGTTAGTCATCTATCACATATAAAATATTTGAAGTTTTATCTATTACTTATATTCAAGAAATTCATTACTATGCAATGCTAAGGTTATTAAAATAGAATCCTCGTGTAAAGTACTTGTGCGAACCAGACGATGAATGTTTTTATATCGAAATACACAGAGAGTTATAGACTACTATACTGCATTAAGGCTGTCTAATTTTAATTAAGTCGTTTTAATAAACTAGATAGCTGTACCATTTCTAATGTTATTCGACTGGTATATTTATGGCAACAATTTATTTTGATGTAAAACTAATAATTATAGTCAGTTTTTCAAAGTAATGTAGCAAAGTACGGAGAAGCTATAATATATGAATCAGCTAACACTGAATTTATAAATTGTAATTACTGTCGGATGTACCTGAAATATAAGAAACCAGTTTTTGTTAGAGATTTATATAAACTTTTCAAAAGCTAATAATTATCGAAATATTACATAGGTATAAACGCATATCTCTCAATATACTGTACGAAATCTTCTATTATTATTATATTTATGGTAATATTTTTTCCGAAATAACTATGGATGATCGTTAGTTACTTTACGCAAATTTCAGTTCGAGCTAATTTATGTTAAATTAAAAATTTGGACGATAAATATATACGTGGGCGTTTTTAATCTTCTCTGTAATAGTTCAAAGATAGTTACAATATTCAACAATCTATAAATGTGAGTTTATATTTATAACATAGAGAATAATGCAACAGCAACAAAGAAATAATTATTAATTAAACATCGTTAAATTTGGCATGTTGTTGAAACTAAAAGGATCTACGAACGGTCATAATAATACTATTTAGATATTATCTTGGCATTAGACTTGTCGATGGAAAGTTTAATACATAAGGAAGTAAGACAATCTAAAGATTTTAAATCAATTCATACTAAGACAACAAAATTGAATACACAGCCATGAACATGTTCCATGGAAGAAATAGTTAAATTACGTATGTACTACACAATTTGTTAAATATCATTACAGATGCCAAGGACAGATCAAAAATGGTAAAATTTCGTGGTAGCATGGCTTTATATTGAAATTAGGTAAATTAGGCATCAAGTAAAATAAATACAGGAAACATTTCCGAATATCCAATAAATTTTCTTAAATTGAAGTCATTATTTTATCAATTTTCCCAATTCATAATATTTCATCAGGCCATTAGTATATATATATTAGTATCGAGTATCGTAAAATAAAGCAATTATTTAAATGCGCTTCATACTGCTGGTACTACAGACGTTAAAATTGTAATATATATCTCTATGCACACGAATAAATATTGAATAAAGTAAGAGTGAGATCGTCTTCGCTTATGCATACACTGTAGGTCATAACAAATAATGCAACTCCTTGAGTGTAGCATTACATATGAGGCTGCAGATGATATTAAAACTTAAATAGTCATCTCGCATCATGAGACTAATCAGAGAGACTCTTTATAGGATAGATTATCCCTGTGTATAGATTGAAATTTTAGTACCTTTCGACATAAATAATGACTTAGAACCTAAAGCCATAAACTGCTATACTGCAGTCCATTATTTTATTGCTATAATCTTTTACGGACCATCAAACCGTAATTATCTACGCATAACGTATTTCAAACACAATATCCGTATTAATCAAAATCTATTCAATACTTTGTTAAGCACTTTAATTGCATTTACGACTCTCTGAAGATATCAGAATAAAGTGCCTATTATTATTTATTTATTGTGAATGAATTGGTAACGACAGTGATAGGTCTGATCGAAAGAGTTAAATTTTCATAGTAATTGAATTCTATTGAAAAGCAAGTTACAATACCTGATGATAATGAAAATGTAATGGTTATATAAGTCTCTGTTCATCGTAGGTTTAATAAAAGTCGAAACTTTTCCAAGCTTTGCTAATAACATAATAATCCTATAAATTTCTAATACATGATAATAATAGAACATAATTTAAACACATATGTTAATATGCAAAAAGCCATTTAATAATATGAATTAAAGTTTATATGAAGGTTTCTTTGGGCAATGAGGTAGTTTGATTGGTTAGTTGCTTTGATTAGTATCTTGATTTGATGATGATGGCTCTAGTTTTGAATATTCAGAATAGTCGTACTGAATGTTATGCTCTTGAAGTAGTAATTCCATCTTTCGAATAACTTTTTCTTTCTATCAAATTAAAAGTGATTTAGATCGTTATTGAGGACCAAAGAGTTAAAAGGATTTCTATTGTTACATACTTTTATTGTAATCTAATTCCATATTCAGTTTTGTTATGAGAAGAGAATTATTATAGAGGGTCAAGACTAGTTTTATTCTTAAAGTTAAAATTTTATATAGTGTTTATATTTCCTTGTTTATAATTTGTTCACGCAAGTCATGCGCTTGTATTAATGTAAAAGAGTCTTCTCTATTGCATAATATGACAAAAACATATCTTTTATCTTTCTAACACCAGAACAATTTATGTTATTAAATACATCAATGTGAGAATACCTATACAGTACAATTAACCTTAATCTCATAATTAGCAACTCTCTGCCTGTCACGACAACTTCTGTAACACGTATTTCATGACCATAATTAATTAATTAATTATCAGTGATGCAATAGTTAATACTAATACAGATCGTATAAAAATAAATACTATTAATTGCATTGCTGATATTTTTATTTTAAATTAAGAAGAAAATTACTGTATTAATTGTTAATGAATGCCCATAACAATTAATAGCACAAACCTGCTCTACTAGTAATTTAGCTTCATTCGAGATCTTAAGGGAAGATAGATTGGCAGCTGGAAAGATCTGAGCTGGCTTTAACTGACGTTCTGACTTAGTAAGCCCAACTCCACTCTTGTTATTCATAAAATTAACTTCTTTTCTAGTTCTTATAGCATGTACCTAATTCAAATAAGCCAATTTTTATTTAGGCCGTGCCAGATTAGATTATTAGCATAATTTCGATTACAGAAGCGTATAAGATTTTAATTTATTTCAATTAATGTACCTTTTTATTTATATCAAGCTAGCATTATTACAGTTGCTATGCAAATTTACCTTTGGAGAAAAAATTAGAACGATGGTCAGAGTCGTGCATAGTATTATGAAGGAAGCAATTAAGCAAAAGCTAGTGATAGGGTCAGTATTGATGACTGCAGTAAGAAGAACGCCGGTAGTACATAGTACAAATACATTGTAGATGCATAATCCTATCAACTTAGAATCATTAAGTTCCTTAATGGCAACAGAACGTGTTTCCCATGCCAAGAATGCGCCGAAGATCATTAAAAGAAATTTATAACCATAGATAATTCCTGTCCAAAGTGACAAATATTTTGATGTGCACACAACTGCAATATAGTGAGTAGTTACTGTTGGATTATTCTGAACAGCCTACGTAGTCAACAAGTAGAAAACAAAACATGACAGTAAATTAGAGAAGTATAGAGAATTATAAAACTCTTACAGTAACAAGACTAATATTTTACCCTAGGTAATACTGTCTCTTTTTGTACGTATAGGGGATCAATAGTTTGCCAAAAGACTAGTATAATAATATCAATTACGGCGAGGCCAAATATCTTGACAATTAGATTTCTATCCTTTATGATCTATTAATGATTAAAAACAGCTGTTAAAATATTTTACAAGATGCTTAACCTCTTAATACTTTATACTTACTATAGAACGCTTGGTTTTATTTCTATATATAGTATAAACGCGCCATGTTTTCCAGAACAGTGAGCCAAAGCCTAGCGTAAAACCAATACATAAAGTCCATGCAGCGGAAGTGCATATCGCTGGTAGAGCATTTTCACCAACAAACTTCCAATCTAAACCAAAAAACATCACCGAAAAAAAACAAAGCATGGCACCAACTAGCATAATAATGTTGATTTTAGGGCTTGAGATCTTAATTCGTCTGTCAATAAATGAATTTTCGGTAAAGGTTAATTTGTAACGTAAGCGACACCGTAATTAATTTAACTCGTTCCATTTCTTACATAGATTTCTCTAACTTATTTGTAAAATTCAAATCGGACTTTAATATCACATCGGCTCTAGACTATGTTCGTAGAAATACAAGTATATATTGAAAGCTTACCTATCATTCTGCATGGTTATATTAAATATCATAAACATCGTAGTGAGTAATACACCAGCCATAGCCAAGCAAGCAAATACGATATATATAGCAGTAGGGATAGACTGCCACTCGTTGTGGACGTTTTCTCCATCAGCCGGAGTAAAGTTACCTATGTTAAAAGAATCAGTATTAAACTCAATTTAATATGCCGGATGCATCAGTTATAAGTTTTGCGACTATTTCAAACTAAATACGATAATTAAGAAATTTCACGGAACTTCAATTATGGTAGAAAATATGTGATACCTTGCCATTTGATAGAATATGGTTCGTTCGATACCGATAACGTTTTCGTAAAATAATTGTAAAACCCTGCTCTAATTGTATAATTTGGATAAACTTGCCCTATTCACCGAAAATATACAAGAATGGTATAATTGATTATAATTGCAATAAGAATTAATTTTACGGTAAAAGCTTATTCGTATTATTTTGATAGGTCGAAAGACAAAAAAAATTACTATGGCGTCGGCATTCTATGCATGAAACCGATATATGATTTTGAGTCAAAATGTTATTGGAGTGAAATTCTAATTGCACGGCTTCATCACATTAAATCAAACTACTCTAATGAATAATAATCAAATAAAGACGTTCATGCTATTTGAAAGATTAGTTAACATAAAAATGGAAGTCGATGATGTGCAGTATATTGTACAGTAGTATCATATTGTAGCGGAAATCAATCGATAGATTACACGGTTTTATTTCTCGTAAAACATGATGTTGCATCCGTACTTTGATATTGCATGACCATCACATTTCCAACTCGATTGCCATCGACAAATGCAATTCGACCCTGTTAGTAAAATAATAAGCAGTAAAGGTTAGCAGGATAACTGTGATCTTAATGGCCATGTAAAATGTAAGGAATTACTACGGTCTTAAACTTAACGTAAAAAGTAATGGTAAAATTCAAATAAACCATGAATACGTAAAACTTTAGATAAAGTTATCTGAGAAAGATACTATCAATTAAATTAGATCGATTTCATTATAGATTTAATAGGTAATAGCCACCAAATTTTATTAGCATTTACTATAATTAATGTTTTAGCGCCACCGGAGCGCAACTAGAGCAGTAACATAACTGCCATATTCATATACGCGTGCACTTACGCTTAAACCAATAAATGAAACGTTGTTCAAAGCATCAACAAGTATATGTGCCGTAATGTTATCATTATAATTGAATGAGGACAGATTTCTTGCATATTTTTCCCTTAATATCTCATCAGTACGATTTAGTCCAAGTGCTAATGCCCAAATTGCATCGTAAGCGTAAGAATAGCTGCCACTTAATGGAGCACCATTTGAAAAATTGTTATAAGCTTCTATAAACCCATTAATCGTCTGATGATTGACAAAAAATTACAGAAAGCAACTTATTAATTTAAATGCATTAACGATATAAGCTAATTGATTATCTATACTTTCTGCTTTCTATTAAACGGTGAGTATCATAATAAAAGATTATCTATGCTAGAATCGAATCAGTACAACGAAAGATAGTCGTTGAATACTATAAGTTCCTTACATATCCTGACAGCGGCTTTTCGTTATTAACTGGTAATAATTCGTTTTTGAATGCAACGTAGCCTTCAATAACTTCCTGTATCTGCTCCGATGTACAATTTATATCGAGCTTTTTTAGATCGTTAATAAACCAGTTTTCAAGATAAAATCCAGGCAGCATCCATACATAATGCGAGCCAAACAGTTTTTGATGATAAGCCTAAAAAGTGGAGTAAGATAACTTTGATAACTTATACAAATATTGTAATATGAGCTAATAATTAGTATATGCGCAAGATAACACCGAGCAAGTAATATTTTTGAATACGTTGTTTAGGCGCTGAAAATTTTACGTCAATCGTCAGTGCTACATCTGAAAGACAAAAACTAAAGATAATCTAATTGTAAGAACTAACTGTTAAGGATGATCTGGTATATTAAAAAATAAATTTCATCGCTTGTTTCATGCAGCTCTGCAGTATAAACTTTACCATCTCTTTCTAAAGACGAATAGAAATGGTAAAGATGGGCTGAATCATGGACTACTAGATGCAACTAGTAGTCCGTAGCTGAATACAATAACGTATCCTCTTTATGGCTCTTAGTAATACTGTGTTAACTATCCTATCTACGATATGTGGCTACTTTGGCATAATTTGTTGCTAGTGATATAGTATTTAATATTTCAGCCTTAAAATCTTATTCGTGTAGCGTAGTGAAAGTTATCAAGGATGCAGTTCAATTAGGTTTTGTTCTAGAAAACGGAATCATATCGGGTCCGCGATACAGCGCTACCTTCAAATAGGATCATTTCTTTTCAAACAATTTAGCGGGATGCAGCAAACACGAAGCAGTTATAACTAAAGAATTAATTAATAATTACTAATCTTACTAAATTTTAACATCATTACAAAGGACTTAAAGCTACTTCTTGCCTTCAGCTATAATAGCTACGGTATCAAGAATTCAGCTCTTACTGCTATCAAATGATCTTCTAAATGACTCTATATTCGATTTACTATCGCCTATGTACGGTGTTAAAATCAGCGGAGCAAGATTTACTGACTGCATCAATCAAATTCTACATACATACAGAATTTATTATACTCGTAGGTTACCATAGCTCTCTTATTTTATATCAAACCGAAAAACTACTCAGATTGTAGTACGAACGTGGATTGACTACAACCAAGACATACTTCAAATGCAAATATGTAGTTTTTCTGTTACGAGAAACGGGAATGCATCTGCTTACTAAAAAATATTGATATTTATTTGATTTAACGAAACTACTAAGCTTTATCCGCTTAAAATGTGAAGTAACAGCATAAATCGGTAATCGATACAGTACTAATAAATTTCCAATTAGCAAATAGCATACGAGCATATCTAAAATTAAGTGAATAATACGAATAAAAATCATATCTGATAACTCGGTTTAGACCAGATGCGAATGTACGATCATATTTCTATATTTATTGCGACAGATAAAATTACTTCCATTTAAATGATATCCTCATTACTATGCCAGTGTATTTTATTAAAGAAATTAATGATTAACTAAGTTAATGTATCACATAGAGTATGTATTTGCAGACAAAAGATGCATGCGTTTCTTTTGGGTCTGAATAGCGGAAGAAGTTAAATGTTCAAAGGTCATATTTGTATGAATATATGCCAGCTATTCAGGCTTTGAATATAATACAGGACAGAATTTAAAGAAGCAGCTGCTGCAGAAATTATCGTATACTATTTTGTTTTAAGATCGTTGATCTATTTGTTATGTGTCCACGGTTGTTTGTATGTATTATACAATAAATAATCAGAGGGATACTATTACAATTCAGTTGGTCAACTAATAATTTAATAACTGTAATATACTAAAGATGCAGACTTCAAATGAATCGTTTTCTCGTCTTAGCTGATTATATGATAGTGAAATTGAATATTTACGATGTCACTGATCTTGACCATTTCAACAATGTCCGCAAAAGGCTATAGGGATTCCATATATTCAAATAAATAATTTTTTCAAATGATATACTCACATTACATAGAACAGGTAGCGCTTTCGATGGATAAGCAAATAGGAATATTATCCTGACATCTTTATTCTAATAACCGAAATTGTAGAAAATTAGAGGTCATCGCTAGCATTAACGACATATATACTTTAATTCATGTTCTTTAATATTATACTAGACGGTAACTCTCAGAATAATAGCATAAAGGTAATATTATTCTTTCAAAAAATGCATTAAATATAGATATAAAACAACGCTATTAATAACTGGAAATAAATATGCAATGAAATTGAAATACGAGATACGATGGGTCTTGAAATCAACTTAAAACTGAAAACTGAATACTTCAATAGCAGTGACATTCATTACATTTATTGCAGTGCTAAGAATAAATGATAATACCAGCACATTTATCATTTCAAGTGATCTAATTGAATTTTAAGCTAAAATTTGGAGTTTTAATTTTTTTTAAACTGTTAAAAATGCTACATTACTTTGTTGTACTGTTTGAGAAATCTAGTAATAACTATTATCGTCAAATTGGAATAGGTAAAAGTGCAACACTGCGATAGCCATACTTTCAACACTGAAATGAATAGATCTAGCTTTCTTAAGTCGTAATGATAAATTTGGAATCTTTTAATTATTATAAGAAAATTTCTCTCTACTTTTTAAGGTAATGTTGATAACTACATATAATTATAATTGATCTCTTTCTAAGTGCGAAATCAGTCAACTCTTGCCTTCGGATTAGATTATAAAGCTGTTAAAGATCAAGTATTACCGTAATAAAACGTACGACACCTAGCTATTGATAGAATGATGGCGGATGTCTATAAGTATTACTTAGCCAACCACCAACAATAGCGGCCTGTGATAAACTATATCAAGGGGACGCTATACGGGATATGTTGTTATACTAATTTAAATTTGAACTTTTCTATATCTTTCCTATTCAAACTCAGTATAATACCCCAAAGTGCAGCATAAGTACGATAGAATACCTTATATTTGAAACAGTATACGAAGAACGCTTTAAGCATGGCATTAAAACTAACTAACGTACTTAGATGATACATGTAGTTCGTAATTTTAACAACGATATGCTTTACTAAACAAGAAATAACTACTACAAGATTTTTAGTTGTAAAAGTTAAATGTATCCGCAGTTTTACGACTTTTAATCGAAAGACTATCGGTTTCCTTTTTCATTACCGAAAGCACGAGGAAGTATAGTAATTATAGCAAATTTTACCATACTGATTAATTATTGACTAAAATACATTAAAAGTAAGTCATTTCAGTAAATGCTTCATGACATTTTAGTTTTGTATGATGTCGTTACTTGGAGATAAAATTAAAACTTGGTTGGGATTGCTTAATAGATTTAAATTTTAAACTTAAATCAGCTTTGTGTATAATACAAGCCGCTCTAAAACAAAAATGATATAAAAACGATCGTTAAATTCTATACAAAACTTAGCTGCTTTAGGAAATGATATAATCAGCCTTGTTTTTACTTTTTTAATTAAAGTACTTATTCAAATATCGCAAACTTAAGTGATAGAGACCTAGTATTTACATCTTGCTTAACCCTTATTACAACCTTCAAGTAAAAATAAGTTTGGATCATTCGTTTAACATAAATTTGATTATAATCTAGACGTGCGTATACCTTCAATCCACTGATCGTGTCGCTATTATCGGTAATACCTTCGGTTGTAACGGACACTATATTCTCAGCTTGCAGATGTTTCTGCAAGTCCTTAACAGCCTAGCAGATGAGAATATATTCATCACATTTATTAACTTATCAAGAATACGGAGTGCTAAGAAAATTTCATGACATTCTCAATATAGTAGATAAAATATAGATTTATAATAATAGTATAATCGAAAAAATAATTCATAAGCTAAAAAATTGATATAAAATGATTTGAAACACGCTGAAATTAAATATAATATTGTCACAATTTCACTTCTGCGACAAGGTAACGTACAGTAAAAGTCTGTAAGTAGCTACTGACTTAAACGCCCTTTTACTTAACGTTAAACACACACAGCAAAAGACTGTAAAGATGAAGCTTTTATTAGCAAAGATACATCTACAACTTTTTACCACCCTCTCAACTCAAATGTTCCCGTTTATATAGGAACCGTCTAATTTGTAAACAACAACAGCATTATTAATATACCTTACTAGGAGAATCACCTCGAACTAAGATGCCCCTTACGTAGCTTTTCTATCAGTAAATACTTTGAATCTCTTACGCATACTTAATCTTAATCTAAGCTTGTAGGTTGTCTAATTTAACTATCATCAATTAGAACTTGAATCGTCCTACTGCTATCTATCACACAATAACAATCAATATCAAATATGTAATGAACTATTACAAACTACATCCACGTTAAGGCATTACTTATCTTACCTAGCACTACAAATATGGATATTCTCCATACTAGCTACTACTGTACTCATTAAACTATCCTAATAACAAGGCAACACCGTAACAAATATGCAAGTTTTACAATACTGTATCTAACTGGCTGATTCTTGACTTACATGTAAAAATGCATCTGTAATATCAAATATAATGCCAACTCTTTTCCAGTTATAACGTTTGACAAAAGCGACACGAGCTGGATTATAACAGATATCGGATATAGATGTTCGAAAAAAATAAGGATAAATTTTTCGATCTACTAACTGCATAGATGTGGCTGTGTGAGAAATCTATCAGTTAAAGTAAATAATATTATTAATATAAGCATTATAAAATATAAAGTTGGTTTTAATATCAACTACCAAGCAAAATTTTCTAACATAACTTCAATAATTCGTTATCGAAAAATAAATACCTCAATAAGATTCCAATATCGAGATATAGCTGCTACAGTGCCAGTTACAGATGACAACACAGGTCCGAAAATTGCGATTTTTGTCGGTGACGAGGAAACCATATGAAAAAATTGCTTACTAGCATAAGCTGCTTCGTGCTATAATAATAATACCTCAGTTTAGAATACAGAACTAGGAACGATAAATTTTAAGGAAATAGTTTGTGTTCTTTAACAATTTTATTCGATAATTTCTATGATAAATCTTATAAATGCTCATCGCTTATATGAATCGGAGCCCTGAATGAATATTCGTTTGTTTGAGAACAGCTCATGCTACCAAATAATAAACATGTGGCTATATAATTTCGTGCATAACCGCTTAGTTAAGTTTATTAAAGAATAATTCGGGTATTATCGATATGGATATATGTGCAATATTGTCTACCCTGATAAGCTATCCGATTTATTATCGTTACGCAAAATTTTAATTCGATAAATTGCACTAATAAAGACCTCATATCTAATATATGAATATAAACAACTTTAAATTAATTACTTTTAATACCAGTGTATTATCAGAGAATGGAAATGCATTAGATCAGATGATTTTATTTAATAATATTTTCTATACATGCATTTGTTAGCCGATAGAAAATTAATTCAGGCTAAGCCATTTATATGCCTATTATCATCTGCATTAGTGCAGCATTCATAATTAATTACAATTAATGAATGCAGCACATGTTAAATCTTAGTAATCGATTCAAATTCGATATTCGATCAAAACACGTTCTAAGCAAATTCAAAGGTTGGCAATTGATAATGATGTCGCAGGTATTATATACCTTACAAATTTACAATACCCACTTATGACCTATTAGTAATCATCTTATTAACCAAATATATAGTTGAAAAGTCCTTGTATAAGGTAGAAAAATATTAGTAAGTGTCATAGTGCTACGTTCAGTTTAATAGATACCGGTACAAGATTTAAGCCATTATCATTCAATAAATAAATACGATGTTGAGATGGAGAAGTTCATTTTATCTACCCAGATATTGTATTACACGACTGGAAGAACTGATGTTGAAATATATTATTTCTTATTCAAATATTATAAAGCTAAGAATCAAGAAAAGGCGATGAAGCCAAGGTGATAGAAAGCTGAAACCATAAGGTTAAAGGTAGCATGAACTCTTATTGGAGTCAACCGATTCAGCACGTGCTCTGACCTTTGTATTCGACTATCTAAATGCCACTAAGTTATTTTGCTGCTCAAACCCTACAACTTTTGTCTGAGTTCTTAAAATGTTAAACAAAGAGATGACATTTATGCTTTTTATCGTTTTCGCTGTCTATAATTGCAAAAATAATTGACAGTATGACAGAATATTTTAAATTCTTAAATTATTTGTCTGCATAATAATTGATATTTCAATAAAGCAAGCGCAGATCTTCTAAAATTTTGTTTTAATAACAAATATCTCAAAAAGCTACTTATTGATCTTAATAATAAATAACCAGATCTGCGATCCTGTTCTTTGGATAAACGCTCTGATGACCCGTTGGATATTTTATTATAAATGTCATGACATTCAACGTAAGGAAGTGGCTATTGTTTGGCGCATATTAACTTCTATTCAGAGAAGAAATCTCAATTTCGCTGGGTTTATAGGAGACCTTGAGTTAATTTAATCTACAAGTTTATATACTACGGTATAAAAAAATTTGAAATAGTGAATTAGCTCATTTCAATCTGATTAAATATATAGTGTAATGCCGCTTATTGAAGATCGCATGCGGCATCCTTTTCGTTTATGAAATATCATTATATAAACAATATTTAAGCAATGAACAGTAGTACTGGTGGCTATTTCAACCAGCTTAAGAATAATTTTTTTTAAAACTATTATCGGCGGCTTGTGAACGAAATATGAAGTACTATTATTTCATAATAATGAAAATTTAATTTTACGACTTATTCGAGGCTCCAGGTACTTTTTAAGTTTGAGCCAAAATCAAGACTAAATCGTGGAATTTTCATGCTACAGTAAAATTTGCTTCATAACTTTGTTACTTGAAAAAATAACGCTGACACACTTTTCCAAGTATTCATAACAGTTCTGTTAGCTTAACTCTCAAATAGTTTAGTCTCAATTACTACATACCGACATCAATATATTTGTCTTTGTTTAAATCTACGTAATTTGTATCAAATTAGAAATTCACGATCTCTTGTTATGGAGACTCGATCAAAAATACTCCTGAGATGTGATAAATCGAATAAAATAATGCACTACGGCTGGAATGATTCATTCAAGAACTTAAATGAAAAATGTTGAAAATGATATCATATAATTATATGCAGGAAGTTCCTAATCGATAGCCTGTATGTTTCAGGAGCACTAAATTAATATCTAAGGGGATCTAAATAGAAGTCAATTAGCTCGATATAGCGCTTTCAGTAAAACAAGAAATTGATCAAATGTAATCCCTACTAAATCACTTGATAATTTCATTTCGTTTAATCTAATGATCTGTGTCTAATTTTCTTAATCATTTGGTGATATACGAATCAAGGAAGTATTTTACTGATGTTTTACCTTTATCTTCGAAATATATCGCTTATTACAAATATTTAATAGAAAACTTAATGATAATGTAAGACTGAAAATTAGGATAAGTATAGAAAGGTCATCAGTGAAAGCGGTCATAGAAATATAATCTAAACTGGTCATGGCAGAAATAACTTTACTGTTACCAATGCCCATTTTATGTTAATGCAATTAATATCAAGTATGCATATGTCAGTCTATCGTTAAGTACCGTACTTAGATGACTAAAGATGAAAGAATGTGATTGCAAATACTATACAGAAATTTATAAAAAATTTTATAAATCAATAAAACCATGTAAATTAGGGTAATTTTATTTCGAATAGCAACCCTGCCTTAGCTGTACCTTATAGAAACTATAACCAAATAGTTAACGAAATCAAAAATATTCAACATCAAATGCAATTCTATTTATTAAATGATAAATAGAAAGTTTTAACTCACTCTAGTATCTAAAAAACTTGACTCCATTTCGTAAGGGCTCAAGATGTCGTCTCTTTCATTAATATCCCTCAGAGCCATATTGGCAAATTCAATGAAGCTTACGCCAGCTATTGACGAAAATCCGTTACTTAACGGCTGCAGCATGCCAAGATGTAAACGATCTTTACCATGTACCATAATTAAGAAGCAAGGTATCAAGGTTATCAGTAATAAGTTGCGAATAATCATTTCTGAGAGTAAGGATGTTATTAGTAAGCACAGTCAGTTTAAACTAAGATTACAACTGTAATATGGCAAATCAAAACCTATTTTTTAAAGATATTTCCTAAACACTATTTTGAACTATATTTTCCGCTTATTAGCAAGGATTTAAATTGATGTTGCACTGCAGTATTCTTTATCCCTGTTAATAACTTAGATCTGTTTAATCTATACACTAAACTGGTGTAACATAAAAATGTGACGGAAGAGCTATTAATTAATTCACAGCACCAAAAAATATTGTCAAATAGCTCAATTCCAATAAAATCAACATTGAAAAAACTATTGTTCAGGGTTCTTTTATTTCTGAAGATGAAGATCTTGTGATATTTCTTACTTAATATAACAGTAAACTTTTTCGTAATCATTATTTATAGCGCCTTTTATCAGCGTGAATACACTGTTAACAATAACCGGTTAACTATACTGCATTTGCTCATTTAGATTCAAAAAGTAACGAATTTAATTTAATTTATTTTTTGCCGTAATTTCCGCTCATAGTCATAACACTTTTCACTATTGTATAAATAATGAGAACGCCTCATTCTGCAGCATTATTCAAAGTATAACCAATCAGCTACTTGATATGAAAATGTTTAATTAATTTTGTTACTCAAAATAAAATAATATTACTGTACGATCAATACCATTTGGTAATCGTTTAATCCGGAATACAAAATCTATCAACCATGCTATCTAATGTAAGATAGCTTACTAAAGGAAGTAATAAGGTCTTGCACAAACGCTATCAATAATAGCAACTTTCCAGCGAAATAGTATCTCCTTCTATAAAAACTAAAGACGCATTAAGTCTAAAGAAACTGTTATCTGTGATCAAGGAAAATTAACGCTGGTAAGTAAATATTAGTTAACAAATTTACCGAGTATATTTTTAATCTTTACGCAAAGATGCAACTCTTAAAAAATATTGCAATTCTTTATTTTTAATTTATTAATTCCTTAAAATAGCTTTTATTTTTAGGAAAATTATTATTTACATCGCATAAAAGTATACTGATGAAGTACTGATCAATATCGGTATTCTCTGAAATTTAAAAAACAATAGCCCATTGGAGGTCCACAGAAGTGAACGATCACTAATTCACTCTTTATGATCTTAGGTACAAACGTTTCTATCAGGTGACATCAAGTAATGACATCAGCGATATTGCTATCTTATTTATTAATAAAGAATGAAAGTCGTCGTTCTTATTCTGCTATTATTACCCCGAATCTGACGTTTATATTAAACCATAAATGAAAAAGGCATGAACATATCTCACATGCATTTATTCATGTGATAAGATATGAAGACAAATTTTCCTGAATAAGTAAGAAAATTCCTAACTTTACTCTTAAAGGCGTTAAGATATCTGTTTGCTATAATTTTATCTATATTTTACCATAAGCACCTATAATGATCATTTTTATACCCTTGTGAAATTATCCAGACAAAAATAAAACTTTATAGTTAAATAATAGCTTTAAGTTAATATTTTAAAGAATTACGTAAAAACGATAAAATAGAAGTATCGCAGTGTTGATTTACTTTTATTCCTTTGCAAACAAAGAAATAAACAGTACTGTGTAATATGTAAATGGCATGTAATTAAATAGCTATTAATAACGCCATGGCTACTTTAAATTATTAATTACTTTACCACATTGATTAGTTATGAAGAAATCAATTTATTATTGATAATTTATTATTTATTGTAGCGTATATTGGAAAAATACAGGTAGACTTACAGTCTGATATGCTACCTTTAGCGCCTTATCTTGCCATATTTTAATACATCAAATTCTTTGCCATA